CTGCTACTGTTCTATTACAATTTTAAACAAATATCCTCATATGTGGCTGTTATTTTTCTTAAAAGCAAAAATAAGGTAAAAAAAAAAAATCTGGTAATTCTTTATTTTTACATTCATTGGGCCCCAATCAGCCCAAATATGAAAGAGAAATTAAAATGCATGCAGTGGAAGAGTTCTGGTCTTAGAAGGTTGAAGAAAGTTGGAAGAATTTAATTTCTTTACTTTCTCATTTATAGAGTTTGGTCCACAAAGAACTTTGAACTGTTGTCTTTAATGTCAATATAGAGACAACCAGAACTGAAGCTAGACCATTGCATCATCTAGCTTCAGTCCCAGTTCTGCTACTACCAGCTACTAAACCTAATAAATCTAATAAGGGAAAGACCATCTCTGAATCGAGGAGGGGGCCTAAGGGTCCATCTGTCACCATCTTACAATGCTGTGATTGCAGCCATTCCCCAACTCTCTGTGAATGGTGCTCATGGCCATTGATCAATGGTCATGACAATTTACATATTAATGATCAAAGAACTGATTGTTCCTTCAGTGGGCTGGTTTCAGTCATTATGTAAATGTGCTGTTGATAAGATTGAAACCTGCAGTCAGCTGAGACTGAAGACGTCACCTGGATGAAACGTTTCTCCCACTGAAAACATGACGTCTAGATGAACAGGATCAACCTTTGGGACAGCGCTCTTGTTATTAATGAACACGATGAATGAGTTTATTAGCTACACTACTTAACTCATCGGTCATTAGTGTTGGAATTCTATGTAACTATTGTCTTTGTGTGTGTTGGTGTAGATCTGTGCAGAGGAGCCAGCCCCACCTTCCTCACCTTCTCCTGACATCTGTCCTCCAGATATTCATGTTTCAGGTGAGACCTCTGTTTGCACTCAGACTACAGTGCTGCCCCCTCCCCCCCCCTCCCCCCTGGGAGCTCAGTCAAAAGCCTGTTATTATTATCAGGAAGGGAGCCCTGGAGGCCACGCATGCACACTGAGCACAGAGCACCAACACGTGAGGGATTTTTCTTTGACATTTATTGATTTGACTCATAGGCACAGTGGGTCAGAGGTTAGTACTGCGAGATCACAGCGGGGGGTTTTCACAGTTCATATTCGTTTCAACATATTTTTGGCTCGCATCATGTCTACCACACAGCGTTTACGTTTGCTGTTCTTTCTTTTTGGTGCAACAAAGCCTCTCAGCAGAGCATTATTTTGCCAAAGGAGACGGAAAACGATCTGAAGCAGTCCAGTTGTCGTCACACTGAAGGACTGCTTCAGACCAGCAGCTGCAGTGTCACAGGGCTGCCCGTGGCTCTCGGCCGAAAGCCACCGGACAGCCTTTCCCAATCCAATTGGCTGGGATTACCCAGCCAAGGTTATTTTCTAGGTACTCTAATCATTTCACTCCCTGCCAGCCTCTAAGCCAGTTGCTAGCTGCGACAGATGTCAGCACTTTGTAGTGAGGTGAGCGCACACACAGAAACAGATTTTTATTATATTACAAAATATTCCAGAATTATGATCCAGGTTAAATAAGGTTCACTGTGACAACATTTCAGATAAATACTCTTAAATCAGTTAATCTACAGAATGACTCCACACTATGAAGTTTGGACCTCGTCTGTCATTTTTTAGATGTTTTGATGATCAAACGTAACATGAGTGTAAAGTCAGAAGAGCAGAGCAGCCATACAAATCTGGGACAGGAAAACGCATCAAATTAATGGCTGCTGCCTCCCCTCGCGTCTACGTAATCATCCACTTTTCTTCAGTTCCTCTCTTTAATCATCTGCTGTTCCTGCACCATCGCTCACAGTCACAATGACCTGCTTTAACCAGCAACACCGACATCAGGTTGTCTGTTCAACTCTGATATGACAGATTATAAAATGATATTTCTCCTGCTGTTCCTCATTACACTTTCAGTTCTGTTAAGAGGCTAGAGCAGGGGTCTGCAACCTTTAACACAAAGAGCCGTTTGGACCCAGTTTCCACAGAAAAGCAAACTCTGGGAGCCGCAAATACTTTCTAACATCTAAAATGAAGATAACACTGTTATTGTTTTTTACCTTTATGCTTTTATAGACAACTAAAGTTTGTTGCTTATGAAATCCATGAAGTGCTACAGAGAAAATTAAATTTTATTTATGTAATTAACACATTTTGAACTCTTAAAAAATACAACAAAAAGGAGATACACCCAGGTGAAGGTCTCTTTTAAATGAATTAAAAAGCTGAACTTAAATTATTCATATAGGAAACGAAAACTGGCGTGAGGCGTCATCCTTATATCACCTTTGGGATTTCCTGTAGTGGAGCCTTGACCTGAGTTTTAAAAATATTTGGAAAAAAGCACTATGCTGCTAAAAAAAATGAAAAATAGATATTTGCAAAATATCTGGATAAATATGTATTTTACCTGGTTAATGTGTGTGGCGGGGCGTGGTCTGCAGCGCTGCTGCAGGGGAGGCGGCGCACCTGAGCGGCACCCGCAATCACGCCTCGCTGGCTTGTTGTGTTGGTGTGTGTCGGGCTGTGAGCTGCAAAGCTACAGCCGGCTGTGTGCGTACAACAACCGTGTGTAAAAATTGGTCAATAAAGAGATGCTGAAAAGCGTGTTCATGCAAACATCGTCGGGTCTGCCGTGATATGTTTACAAT